GTGTGACAGAAAGGTGAAAAATGGAGTACCTTAGGACAAAGAAGGATTGACCTGGGCCTTAGCCAGAAGATTTAGTCACGTCAAGAGCCTTAACTTTGGAATGCTCTTTTCAGGACATAACAAATGTTTTTCGTTTTGTTTTGTTGGTTTTTTTTAATGCTCTTAAGGAAAAGTCTTCACACGGATGCTTATCCATAGACGTCCTCCTCAGCTGCCTTTAGGAAATGTTTAAGATAACTGCCTTCCAATTGCTCTGTGGCACAACAGGTGAAACATTAGTCTGTCAACAGAAAGGTCTGTGGTTCAAACCTACTAGCTGCTCTGCACTCTGCAGGAGAAAAGAAAACTGTCTGATCCCATGTAGAGTGACAAGCTCAAAAAACTACAAGGAGAAATTCTACTTTGTCCTACAGGGTTACTATGAGTTTGAATAGATTCAATGGCAGTGGGTTGGGTTTGGAAAGACCCTGTAAATCCCCTTTAGTCACTTTTTCAAACGATTGTGGTTTGGTCCAGATTCACCCCAACTCTATGTCCAACAGAACAAAACACTGCCCAGTTCTGCATCATCCCCCAAACTGTTGCTCTGTTTGAGTTCAGTGTGCTGTGTCAACCAGCTTGTGGAGGGTCCTTCTCTTCTTTGCCAAGCAGGATGTCCTTTTCCAGGAGCTGGTCTTTCCTAATTACATGTCCAGAGTACATGAGACACAGTCTTGACATTCTTGCCATCAATACTGACTGAAGAAAAGAAGAATGCATTACTAATCAAGGGAAGATGAGATATGCAAAGCACAACCACCCGGCATTGAGAGAGGATCTAAACGTTTGTAGGCAAAGGCATATTTGGGAGGAGCCAACGCACACAAATAACATATATCCTGGGGGTGCGCAGTCTCTAGGGATGACATAGAGTAAATGCAAGTGACAATGAGCCATTCAAGGGGGATCAGAAGGGAATGATTGCAGTAAGGATAGTCTCCAATTTTCATGGTAACATGGGGGAGATCCATAGAGACTGCTTCATTAAGATGGAACTGTAATAAATACATAATTTTAAAAAAATAATTTTTTAAGATGGAGCTGTAGTCCTTGACACAGGTCAAAATTAGAAAAGTTGCTTATTTCTCTCAGACTACCATTACTGTTCATACTCATGACGTCCATGTCTCTCAATGTTCCCCTCACCATGGCTCAGAAAGAAGAATTGAGAGGGGAGCACAGAGCATTTTCTGGGACAATTCTGACCTTAGTAGTGTTACTGGTCGAGGGGGTTATGTGGTGTTTACGTACCACAGAGGTTGGCCCTGAGGGACTCGGAGATCTTCCACATTGAACAGGAAGGGGTAGCCTAGCCAGCAAGATGTTAAATGTCTTCCTCATGCAACTGAGCGTACGGAGTCACAAACGTACTACTCTTCCCTAAAAGGGGCCCAGAGATGGAAACAAGCCATACAATTCTCCACATAACTGAGAGCAAGGAAAAATAAAATCAAATACTTTAGATGGCAAAGACTGGCCAAATAATACAAAAGAAGAAGAATTAAGCTTTAAAAAATAAAACTGCCCCCAAAACTGTGTTTAACTGTGCTTTTGTCAGTTATGAGGGTGTAAAAAAAAAATCAAAAGTAAAACCAAATGGTTGTTTCTCTGTGAATCTGTCTGAAACTAGAGTCTTAAGTCCTCTATAGGTCCACAGGAGCATTAAGGCTGGGGCTGGGCCTCTTCAGGAAGGTCAGTCTCTGGGTGGTTGTCCCTGCTGGCCCAAGGTTTCAAGAGTGTGTAATAGATCCAAGCATCTATTCCCACACCTTGACTGGAGTCTGTATAAATGGTGATTCTCTTTCTCATCCCTATTTCTAGGGCTCAGGTTAAAGCAACTCATTCTGTCAGATAAATGCTGATCCCAGGAGGCAAGGAAGCATTCCCAATGGTCTTTTCTAAAGTCACTACTGAATATCCAGCCTTATGGACATCATACTGACAAAAAAAAAAAAAAACTGCTGTAAAAAGGGCTACATCGGAACTTTCCAATGGGGTGTCACTTAGGTCATTCCTGGAAGCATAGTTCTGCAGGACGACCTGCTGGCAGTCATGCAGGGGCTCTCTCCTTCTGGTAAGAAGGTTGCAGGGTTTGGGGACAATAAGTCAGATTTTATGTTCCTGGGTAGACACTACAAATACATTTCTACCCTTCCCTCAGCGAACCACTCCATGATGACCTTGGACGCTGACTTGTGGGCAGCATGGCAGAACCCAGGGACTACCCCTGAAGGGCTTAAATAGAGGCCCAGAAGAATGAACTGAACTCTGCCTGGAAGGTGCCTGCACCCTTGGACTGAGGACTGGGGTACTCCGATGGGAAAGGAAGCGTAGAATGGCCGCCCGGACTTGGAAGTGCTGGTTATTTTACATGCCCCGGCTTGGTGGGTGTCCAATGGAAACAGACCCAGAATCACTACATATTTAGTACCTCGATGCACCGCACCCCCGCACCCCCATTGTGACACGACAGGTTTTGATCCATTGGGCAGGGATCTGAGCTTGGAAGAATTGATCCAGGAAGTTTCCCCTGGCACCAATCCCCATGCTTAGGGTAAACAGAGTTCAATGGAATGGGAGATCGAACTGTGTAGAGCAACAACTCATGAGTTGGGGCTCACGGTGGAAGTCTACTAGCATAGACTTCTCATACCGACAGTGTCCAGAGCGCTGTGTCATTGAAAAAATTGATGATGTTATCAGTGCAATCGCCTTATACCCCAGGGGGATGATTGACAATGTTTCACTTTTCTGTTTCTATGGGGTTTTGCTTTCCTGCTTTCAGTTTATTTGTTTATGTGTTAGCTGGTTGGTTTGTTGCTCTTTAGGTGAGGTTAGTCTTGTGGGGTTTTGCTTTTGTCATATTGCAGCTGCCAAAGTCAACCTGAGTCATGCATATCCCAGGCACAAGCAGGCGGATTCTGAGGCCCCACTCAATTCTGGCCCCAACTCCAGAACAATTAGTTCTGATAACATGGCCCTGCTTGAAACTCACCTTCATAAATTGATCACTGTGTAGTTAAGAAAGCATATGTTGCCCAGCTATCAATCAGAATAGTGTCTGAGATCTTAAAGGCTTGTATTCAAACAAGCAGTCATCTAAGCCAGGAGGCAGCTAAGTCCACATGGACGAAGCACACCAGCTTGTGTGATCCAAAGATGAAAATTCAAATCCGACGAAGGGAAAAGTATCAGAGCTTAAATTGGGAACACCCAATATGTAGAAGGCTACGGAGGATAGTGGGAGCCCCAAACTGATCTGCAGTGTCTAGTCAGATTAAGTCGCTGGCAGATCACCCCCTAGTCACAGACAAGTGGCTCAAACAGCTTTACTATCCAATAGATATCATTGTAATCTTGATTATGCTGGATCAAACTTGATACTTGATCAGCTGACCTCCCTCTTGACCCAACCTGAAATTGTTCTAGGTGCAAGTATTTCATGCATGTTCCTGACCTTTTAAATATTGATGGTGGTCTTTTCTTTCTTAGTCATTATTTATATTTCATCTTTATTTTATTGTTACTTTATCCTTGCCGCATTACTTTGTTTCTGGTTTTTATTGTCTGTTGGGTTTTCCAATTTGTGAAGCACAGAAGGAGTAGATGCATAAAGATAAGAACTGATGCAAGGATTTATAGGGGGGTAGAGGTGGGGGGTGGGGGATATGGAGAGTGAGGGGATGGGGGAGCCAACAATGTATGTGGGAAGGGGGAGGGAGCACTAGAACTGATTGTGATTGCACAACTGATTTTACAAACTATTTAACCATGAAAGAAAAGGAAAATGGTCTAAATTTGATTGAGGAATGAGTGCATAATTCTTCTTGATATGACTGAACTATTGAATTGTATGATATATGGATTATGTGCAAATAAAACTGTAAATTTTTTTAAAAGGTTGCAGGGTTTAGCAAAGTGCAGGTTCCAATTTGTACCATGGGTTTCCCTTAGCACTAATTAATGCTTCTTTCAGGAGGTCATTGTTCTCCATCAGAAAATTTTATTGGGATCAAGTCTTATGGCAAATGAAACGAAACACTCTTCCTTCAGGGTTTGGGAGTCAAATAGGGACTAGTTTTGTGTGTATATACATACATTCAGCTCAGTAGAGTGATGTCAGACAGGGCAATGAAGACATTCCCACCTGAGAGGAAAGAGAGACTGTCACAATGCCCTGCACTGTGAGCGAAGATTCTGACCATACAGCGTCCCCTATGGACACAACTGGAAACTTATCTCTGTGAACTCCAGAGAGGTTCCTGGGGCAATTCTGGGATATTTTCCTCAATCATCAAGATAGTATCTCTCTCTGGCTTTTGATAAGGAGGGTTCCCTGTACATCGTAGAAAAAGGAATGGCTAAAAGCCTTGCGAGAGACAGGGAGGAGTCCTAAAGAATTCAACTGCAAGTCCCGGGCCCCTCGCACAGGGGGTCCTATAGTGGAGAGTTTGTTCAATGCCATACAATCAACTCGAATGAGTCAGGGATCCTGGGACCACTGGTTACTTGGGCCTCCTGGCCTTCAGCGTCAGACTGGGGATTTCAAAGGAAGAAGACGAAAAGACTCAGGAAAGGGTTATCTGCCTGGGTCTGAGAACAAACCCAGGTCGAGCTGCCTCTGCCCACTGCTTCTTGAGTTGCAAAGCAGACCTGACCGCTTCCAGGGGGAAATTAAAAGTAGAAGGCAAAGGTAAAAGCATAGGCCAGAGTCCATTCACTTACCTGTTCTGTTGAAATGGCCCACATAGGGTGCCAAAATGTTGCAACTTCTCTGGCGTGTCCAGGGACGCTTGGTCTCGTGAACCGAAGGATGGACACACAAACCACAAAAGGCAAGGGAAGTTTATTTGGAAAGAACAGAAAAGCACCTGACGCAGCCGGTGGGGACGTGAGTTACCACTAAGTGAAGTATGTCTTGGGGGGTTTGTCAGGGATGGGGTTCTTGGCCTCTCTGCATCTCCACGTTATGAACGGACCAATCGTGCGACAGGTCCTGGTTCTGGGCTCCGCTGGGTCTTGCCGGAGCATGAACAAGGATGTGGATATGCAAAGGTCAGCAAAAAGGGTCGGGTTCGATGACCATGGAGTTTAGAATCAGCCTAAGGGTCTGATGCTTGCAGGCTTCAGATCAGATTGTCCTCGCCTGTGGAGCTCCCCCGGCCAGACGCCCTGCCACTCCTACAGCTCCTCCGCACCAGGCCTCTCTCGTCACTCAGCTGGCGCTGTCTCCTCTCCATTATTGTCTTGATTTGTGTTTTCTCAGCTTAGAATTGTTAAGTTTGTTTACTTTTCTCTCGATCCTGTTTGTGGACCCTGTTAAGAAGAAGAAGAACCCTTCGAAGAAGTCAGGTTCCATGGTTTCATTTTTGTTTACCTGGACTTTGTGTGTGGGAGAAAGACAGGGCTTTCTCACCGGTAAAGAGTTACAGTGGGGAGAGTGAGCACTAGAACTGAAAGTGATTATACAAATCATTTTAAAGGTGATTTAATCATGGGGGAATATAAAGAAAATGTTCTGAAATAGATTGTGGTAACGATTGTACAATTCTGCTTGATATGATTGAACTATTGAATTGTGTGATATGTGGATAAGTGTCAATAAAACTGTTTGTTGGTTTTTTAATTTTTTAAAATTAATTTTTTTAATTACAGTGGGAAATTCACAGGGGCAATTCTATCTTGTCCTATAGAGCCAGCATCGACTCGAAGACAGTGAGGGTTTGTGTCTCAGAAACCCATTCTGAAAATTGACCTTCTCCTGCAGTGTTCAACAGAGGTAATTCCTGTTTTCTACAGGAGCTCTGATGTAAATTTGTTCTGCAATCACCTGGTGGGGGCGCAAAAATATATAGCATATATATTTATAATAGAAGTTCTGGTGGTGTGGTAGTTTGGGGGTTTGTTTTTTTTTTCTGTGACCCAGAGTAAAACCTGGAAAATAGTGCTCTGCTTTGAAACTTTTTGTATCCAGATTCGAACATTTAAACAAGATAATTCTGTTTTTCAAAGAACTCTGGGCCGCTATAAGCCAACACTTTGAGTTGTTAACCATAAAGTCAGCAGATCAAACCCACCAGGCCCTGACTGCCTTGGTCAGAAGGTCCCTAGACCAACCTTGCGAACTCTTCAGTCCAACGTAATGTATGCGTCCCAATCGTGGTTCTGCCTGAAACTGCGATGTATTGATCCACCACCCAGCAGGACTTGTGAGTCTCCTTTATGCTCCATTGTTCTCAGGTGTGGCCCAAAAGAATAGAACGTTTAGCCAAGGCGGTTACTAAAGACTAGACAGCTACAAGGAGATGCCATAGACAACAAAGTAAACTGTTTGGGTAAGAAAATCTGTTATCTTAGCTAAGAATCAGTGTGTGTTTCTTGGGGCAAGGTTTCTGGTTTGGGCAGTTTGTACAATCATTTGGTTTTTACAAATGGCCATCATTTTCAGTGGAGCAGTGTTGGGGTAAGTTGGAATCTAAAAACTCAAAATGGAATCTTTAGCAACCGGGTCGAGGATACTTAGCGTCACTATTGGGCCATGTGCACAATTCCTTTACTCTTAGTTCAAATACTGAGTTAGTGCTAGAACCACCATTGTAGACCAGCTAATATTCACATAAAACCAGCTTAGGTCAACTAATAATTCAAAAGGAAACAAGAAGCGCTGGCGGCAGAGTGGTTACGCATCGGGCTGCTAACCACAGTTTGAAACCACCAGCCATTCCGTGAGAGAAAGACAGAACTTTCTACTCCTGGGAAGAGTTACAGTCTCAGAAACCCACAGGGGCAGTTCTATCCTGCCCTATGGGGTCGCCATGAGTCTTGGCATCAACTCTGTGGCAGTGGGTTTAGTTTCTTACAATTGTTTTTTTTTAATAATTACAAGTGTCCTTGCTGTGCTTATCTCTTAAGCCTCTTTTACGAAGAGGAAATCTGTGATCTGGAACACAACTTACAGGGTTTCATGAGCTAGTTTACAATGTCCCAGCATCTGTCCTGCTCCTGGTAGTGTGTGCTAAGCTCCTCTCACGGCATTCTTTCTGCAACCTATGGTTTCTTTGTACATGATTGCCTGAGTCCTTGGCTAATTTAATTTTTACAACCATTATTTCCTTTGTATGCTGTATACTATCTCCAACACCATGTCCCATTTATGTAACTGCATGAGTGTAAATCCTTAAGACACCAATGTTCTAAGGATCTAGTGACCTTGTTCTAATGATCTCCCTTATCCAGGGCTTTGTGTTCTTGGGCTTTGTGCTGTCTTTGTCCTGTTTAAAACGTAATAAATCTTCTCTTAAGTTCTATTTGAGATTTGGAGTCTCTTGCACCCCAAAACAAATTTTGAACCTTGCTTTCTTGCCTTGCTTTGCCTGTGCTAGACTGGTCCTGAAAGCAGCAATGGAAAAATGACATGGTAGCAACTACAGATGAAAAAGACGTAGCTCCCCCCAAAAAACGAGGGCCACGGGGACCCTCCCTGTTAGGTGCCAGGCACTGTGCTCGGGTGCAGAACGGTAGGTGAAACTGTGAAAGCAAGTTTCATGGGACGAGTCCTGCTGACTGGTGGGCACGCGGGTGCGTCTCCTATGATAATGTGTGCTTTTCTCTGCGCGTTTAAAGTGAGAGCAAGGGCAGGCGAGAGGGGAGAGAGAATAGGAGCTCCCGCCCCACGCAAAGAGACAGATGGCG